TCCCACATAAAGTGGGAATTTCAATTCTAACATCTAAAAATACATCGTGTTTGGTACGCGGGAAAAAAGAGTTGGAATTGCATTCCATTCTCACTCATTCCCGCGTACCAAACGAGCCCTTAAGGGAGAAAGTATATGAAAGAAATATTTTTTTATAGTCGAGAATAGCTATGCTATGCACAAGATAATCTGCATATTTATATTGAGCCGAAAAGGGTATTTGGGTAACTCCTGCTAGGTGGCTGACACTTTACACTCATCGGTAGCTGGTGGCCCGAGTCATTCTTGCGTTTAATGCGACGACGATGGAATGACAAAGGTGTTGGCATGGTCCGAAGAGTTATTATGACTTCGACGGGGGAGTAATGATGGTTCTGACTATGTATTTAATACAATTGTGACTAGTTGATGTCGATGGGGGAAGACAAAGCAAATAGGTTCCCCCCTTGGTTCAAGGTGCGTCGCCGGTTCCAAGTGGATGCGCCTTTCGTTTTGGTCCCTTGAGAGAGTCCGAGTGAGGACGCCTTTGGCTTTTGAGAGAGAGCCCGAGTGATGAAGCTTTTCATTTTGGTCCTTCAAGGGAGTCTGGGTGAGGATGCCTTTCGTCTCAGGCTTTTGGGATAAAGCCCGGGTGAGGATACCTTTCATCTCTGATCTCAAGGTGCTTTAAGGAGGGGAACCAACGTACGAGAGACTTGGGTTGGGTTAGTGTTATAATGCTTATGTTGGATAATTGAGACACGTGTTGTTCTCTCAAGAGTAGTTTATACATAGCAATTTCTTTGATACAACACTTTCTTTTTTATTTATTGATTGATGAGAAAAAGAAAATTTTATTTTGGGAAATGAATGTTGTTTGGGGCTTAAACGGGTGGGGATATTTAGGTAATTATGCACCCCTGGTTTCCAAACCTAACCAGGTTGGGAGTTTGAAGGACAAAATTAGCAGAAGAATTTATCAACAAATTAATGCAATTTGAGCGACAAATACAAAATATAGAAATATGAGGGACTTATATCATAATAACTAGTATTAATAATAATCCCTTTAATATAAGTCCCTTTGAACCGAAGAAGACGACGAATGAACCCACACTCTATTTCATTCTCAATCTCCAACTTCTCTCAAATTTCTTCACAAATAATCCCCAAATTCAAAACCTAAATCAAGTGATAATACAGAAAGAAAGAAAGGAAAAAAAGAAAAAAGAAAACTTATGAATCGATCTCAAAAACCCTAACCCTAGATCACCTCCAGCTATGAATCCCCCTTCTTCATCCCTCAGCTCTCAACCTCCAGGCCTCAAGACCCACTTCAAGACTCCCGAGGGCAGGTACAAGCTCCAGCTCGACAAGACTCATCCCGCCGGCCTCCTCCACTTCTCCCATGGCAAATCCGTGTCTCAGGTTAGAGCTAGGGTTAGGGTTTTGATTTCTTGCTTCTGGATTCATTCTAATGAGATTGTGTTCAAATTTCAGTTGACGATTGCTTGTTTGAAAGAGAAACTGGCGACTCAGACGCCGACGACGCCGACGACTCCGAGCTCGAGTGGGGTAGTGAGGTTGGCGGCTGCGAGGCTGCTCGGTGCGGGGAATGGGAGCCGGGCGCTGAGTTTTGTTGGAGGGAATGGAGTTAGTAAAGTGGGTTCTGGCAATGGGAGGGTTGGTGGTGCTACATTTGGAGTGTCGAATGGGTCGGGTGGGTCTTCAGCTGTGGCGAATCATGACGAAAAAGGGACTTATTTGATATTTAATGTTGGGGATACACTCTTTATCAGTGATCTCAATTCACAGGACAAGGTTTGGTTTTCAAATTTGCATTGTTCTCTGAATTATACCTAACTATTCATTAACTGAATGGTTCCAATTCTCAATAGCTGGCATCCGTAAACTTCCATTGTTCTGGCTAATACGTGACACAATAAGCAATTGATAAATTTCACTACATGTGCTTGCTGTGGCGGATCCAGGATTTTTAGAAAGTAATGTCACTGCATAAGTAATAATTTTAAAAACATTGCAACTTCGATCCTGAGGAATTTTCATATTTTGGGAGAAAAAACATAATCGCATCATTAGTAATTTTATCAAGTACAATTTTCTCAATATATGTTAAAAAAATTGCTTTTGTTTACCATAGCAAACTACTAAATATTATTAAAGTTCTTAACAATATTATTCAATAAAAAAGTGAACAAACATGTTCTTTTTAGTTATTGATGATCATCTCAAACGATCATAGTAATTCCCAATATATGTCTTGGCTTAATGTTATCATTTGCTGATGAATTCCTTTCCCCCCAAATTATTCTTCTTATTATTTCTCGACTACAGATTTTTTTATTTTTATTTTATTTTGATAATCATATTGTTCCCTATGTGTTTTTGTACATATGATATGATCAGGATTGACTAATATAAAGACATGTAATCTCTACATGCTATCAAGAAGTAGTACTTCAAATTACTTCAATTGTGCTCATTGCTTCCTTGCATTTCTAGGGCATTAATTATGTGCATACTCTTTTGCTTTTATGACCTCTCTAATCATGTGTCAATAGGCCATTAGATATGTTATGATTCTGAACTGAATCTAGTGCATGAGAGAGCATTAACTGGGATAAGCTTATAGTTACATTCTGCCATGAAGACTATGGATTTGGCACATACAGATGACCTGACATTGGAATTTTAGAGATTTCTACAATAATCTAGAATGTATAAAATAGAATGGAAAGTGTAACATAGTCCTGTTTGTGATTGTTTCATTATTATTTTGTGTTTTGTAATATTATCTTCCAGTTAACTAAAATTGAGTTTAATCGAAGACAAGTTGGTTCTTTTGACTTCTTTGATTCCCGTCACTTGTTCATCTTCTTATGTCTATGCTTTCCTGAAAGATATACTTTGGACAATTTCTAGAGCTAACTTTATTTTATGAAGAAGATAAAGAAATTTTCGCCTAGTGTTTGACTTTGAAATTTTTGACCAAGTAGAATGGAGAGATATATGGATGTTATTGCATGCCAGACCTACATAGATACATACCTCTGTAAGTATATATGTACATATGTGTTCATTCATATCTTATCAGTCACATATACACTTAAAGGAAAAAAAGCCAACTCGTTTTTACTTTATATCATATCATTGACATTGTTAAGTAGAAATATGCAGCATGCATAGATATGTTTAGATGACCATAAAAAGAACTTCACTTGTTAACACTTCTTCCTACTCCTCCAACGTAGATCCATTCTAGATACTTGTGTTTTTGGTCAGTGGAAAGTTTTATTTGTTCAAACTTTATATGTACATCATAATGCTCAGTCTAGAATATATTAAGAATCACATGACGTAAATGAACCCCCCCCCCCCCCCCCCCCAAAAAAAAAAAGAGAAAAAAGGAAACAGAAAACAAGTTACAATTTAAGTAACCAGCTCTTACACTCATTAGACAATGTGTCGTTTGAGGCAATCATCATCATAAAGGTTTTAATAACCTTTATTATCACCTCCAAAGGCCCGCAGCGCTGCATAAAAATTTGCATGTTTCTTTCATTCCAAATTCAATAAATTGTTGCCACAAGAGCCATACATTTCAGTTTTTGCTTGATTTGTTTGAACCTATATATGTTGATCTTGAGAAACATGAAACTTCTGCTTCAAGATCTTATGATTTAATCTATGAAATTGCATTTTGAAAATAAATGTGACAATATTAAATTTGTTTTAAAAAACTTACGGAAAGTTGGTCTACTTTTTTGCTTGAAGGAAAAGGCTTCCCATAATTCAAACCCATAGCTTTAATAGTGAGTTGAGCCTAACTCGCAATTCTTATAGAGCACTCACCCTATTTGTCTAGTCATTTCATACTTAAGCATCCCCATTCATGGATACAAGGCTAACATAAAGATGACTTGAAAAAGAATTCAAATATTTTCAAAATAATAATACTAAATAATGCTGATAGTAATGAATTAATGATAATAATATCTGAGAAAAATGGATATCCACAGTCAGCACGGAAACCACCTGTATTGCATCTCAATAAATCATCATTTAGGATATGCACAATATTTTTTCATGATTTACATCTTACGAAGGATGTTTGGTTCCAAATGCCATAGAATATATGTATCATTTGAACCATGTAATATATTAAAACCAACAAGGTTTTACCAACATTTTGATATATTTTATGATAACCTTAAAATATTTCATAACCGATCTGTAGTAAAGAAATAAAATTTAAAAAAGCAATCAAGATACTTGGCGGCATGCAATGCATATCATCCCACCTATTACAAGATAAAGATGAAAGAGAAAAAGAGTTTCTTCTCATACTTTTTGGTTTTTTATTATTTTTCTACAACTCTTAGGCCATGGACCATTTGCATAGGTAGAATGTTCCCCTTGGTTTCATGATGATAATAAAATTGTCGTTACAAAAATAAATCGGTCAAAGGTAATAACAATCATAACCCATAAACTAATCTTTATTATATTAATTTTTGGTTAATAAAAATTAATATGAACAAATAAAATAAATATTAAAATCAAATAACTCAAATTCTCAAAAAATATTTAAAACAGAAACCCAATCTTCTTTATCAAATTTTCCAATAATATGATCTTTACTGGCTATAGATGGACTACTAATATAAAATTAACAAACATAATTTTATCTTGTAATCAATTTTATCGTTTTGAAGAAGGTTTTTAGAAGATAAAATTAAATGTCAGGAGAAGTTGTGCTTTAGGAAGAAGTGGGAGCACTATTACATTAACTAAACAGTTAAAAAGATATTCGTAGACCAATCTCTAAATGAAGGACAATTACTACATCGCATGATATAATCTGCTTCATAGAGAAAAAATAATAATATAACTACCACATTTTCTTCATTCCATTTTCTTAATAATATTTGATGTCATTACTTAAAGTGTAGTGCAATTAGCAAGAAAATTAGTAACCAATAGCTTTCTTAAGATAACATGACATTAGTAAGATTGAAAGCGAGAGGGGTATTAAAAGGGGTTTGATTGGGGTTCATTCGGCTGTACCAGTTGTCACCACCTCCCCTCAAAGGAAAAAGATTCTCCTCCCCACTCCTATTATATTTCAACTCTCCCACGCGCTCAAATCTCAAACACTGTTAAGTGGTTCAATCAAAACTTATGCTGGTCCTACATCTCCTCTGCCTCTTATCTAGTGCNTACCATGACCCGAGCTTGTCGTTGTCGAAACTATCCCTGAGTTCAAATTGTCTGCCTCGACAAGTCTTAGCAAATTCATTGCAATTGACTTCGACGAAGAGGCTGTCAATACCCCGATTGTCTCGGGGCGGAGCCTAAATGATAGCAACGGGCAATGCCTAGCTACAGTGAGCATTGGTCAATAACAGTAACCAGTGTTCTTGATCATCGATACCAGCAGTTACCTCTACTAGATGCAGTGTGACTCGTGCAACAATTGCTACTAGTAGATCGATCCAATCTACGATCCCTTTGCCTCCTCTGCTTTTTGCCTTTCTGGTGCTCATTAAAACAATTCATGTCACTCAATCTTCAAGCCTACCACTATAGTAGATGCATTTACAATGTATGCTACGGCCATGGATCCCAGACTGCTCCCTTTCCCTCCATCGGCCTCCGCAATGGACGCCACCAGAAGTGGTGGGATCATCATCGACGCCGGCTCCTCCTTAACTATACTCCGAACTGACATTTACAACATTACATTAAACATGTTTGTCAAGGGGATGAGGAGGTTCCCAAAGGGTGAGAGAGGACTTTTTTGATACATGCTACAATCTGTTCGGATGTAGCAACGAGGAAGTGCTGGACGCCTCGTTTCATTTCTTTGAGAGGAAGGAGCCGAAGAAGAATTGCTTGGTTCGAATCAGTGGGGAGCGGAAAGAGCTTTATTGTTTTGCATCCGCCAATGAGCATGTTGCTATCGATCATCGGGAACATGCTGTGGGACGAGGGTGGCATTCAATCTCGAGAATTCGATGGTGAGGTTTAATCAAAATAATGTTAGAGGGTAGATTAGAGTGGGAGTGTTGGTGCGGATAAGCAGGTGAGTAAGTGGGTGGTGAATTTGATGGTGGGGGATTTTGCATTGAATATTTAAGAGATTTACTAGTTTATGCGTGGTTAAATATGTTTAGTGTCCAAGTAGTTGAGCATAATAATACTAAATCCTCATATGTTTATATAACATATCTAGATTTAATATAAATAGTAATAGGTTTCAAATGATGTTTGTCTTTTTAGTTTCCGGTTAAATAATTATTACATTTATTATATTTAATACCATAATTATATACACATTTATTTGGGAATTTGTATCTATTTAGAGTATATACAATTGACACATTTTGCTATAGATGTCAATGACAAGTATTTTTTTCATGAATAAATCAAAATGTGTGAATTGTGGACCGAGATATGCATATCTAACATCAGAGAAAATTGTCTATGATCTATGGTAGGACTCAAGCATTTATTTATTTATTTAATGAGGAACATGGGGTTTTTGTATTGGGATGGTTATTTGCATAAATCCATGCAAAGCACACAAATATGTCTTCGCTTGTGAAAGATATCAAGACTTGTACTCGTACACCACTTTGCTCATACTAGATCCGCCCTTGCTTGTTTGGGCTCATACAAGTTATTAAATGACATCACTAAGTTTTTACCCGTAATTTTGACCTTATCTTTAAAAATGAGATCGTATACACATGCATCCCTTTCCATCTAAGTTCATCGTCACATTACATGGCATATCTCATATATTACTCTTTTGGATAACTCCTAATGTGCTAGGATACAATTATTACTAACGGTTAAGAGGATACCAATTTTAAACATAATCATGATTCATGTTAGGTAAAGATTAAAGCTAACCTAATTTTTGAAAACTACTAAGACAAAACATGTTACTATTTTACTGAGGAAAATAAACAATGACCTAACTGTTATTGATATTTAGGTCCACTGTTTTAAATATCGGCCGATAACCGATATTATCGGCCGAGTTATCGGATTTGGGAGCTCTCCGATAGGATAACTTGGATTTTTAATCGGTTATCGTTTTTGGCAAGTTATCGGGGAGTTATCGACGTTATCGGTACTTATCGGCCGATAAGTAAGGTTTTTTTATCGGGGTTATCGGCCGATAAGTAAGGCTATGCAATCGAATGGTTTCATCGTGCGGTCAAGATGTAAGTTTTGCTTTCTACAATTGGTTAGTGATTCTAAACATGATGATTTACATTTTAAGCATGGTTAGATTACATTTTTTAGTTATTATATTATATATATACACCATCTAGTATATCACTCCGATAAATACTACTTATCCCCGATATATCCCCGATTTCCGCTATCCGATAAGAATTTTGGTCGTCCGATAAATTACCGATAACCGATATTTAAAACCTTGTTTAGGTCAGTGCTTATCCAATGTAAAACCTGGACATTTCTTCTGCATCCACATTCCCTCCCATCTCTTAACCTTAACTCAACTCCTACTACCTCATAATTGCTTATTCTTCCATCATTGGTGACTCTTGAACCCATGTTCATAATGTGATTTTTTCATTTACATGTTGTCCTTTATCCTTCATAACTGTAAACCTGAATTCTTTCATTCTTTGGTTCCACCCATGCTATAATAAAAAAGTGGGTTGTATAATTTTTCCCCCCCTAGAAATCAAGTTGATTAGGGATCAGAATTATTATCGTGACTTATTGTATAGGAGGAGGAGAAGGGTGGATTAGCCTTTAATGAGGGAAAAATAGAAGAGAAAGAAACTAGTAAGCATAAGAGTTAGGAGAAGGGAGGAGTAGGAGAGATGGGTGAAGAAGCAAAACAGTCACAAGTTCTTTTTTTCTTTTTCTTTCTTTCTTTCTTTCTTTCTTCTTCTTCTTTTGTTGTTGTTGTCGTCGTTGTTGTTGTTGCTGCTGCTGCTGCTTTAGACCTACTTTTTATTGGGTTTAATAGTTAGTCCCATTACCATTGCACCCCAAACCGTCAATCATGAGCACTAAAGACTAAGGAAAAAATTAGAAACATAAATGTTTTTCCTGAGAGTGCTAAGTTCTTTATGTTGAACTAGAACTTAAGAACCGAGACAAGTAGGTGTGCTAGTTGAACAATGTGAAAAATCAGGGGATATTACAAATTTTCCTGTTAATTGTTCATGAAGATTGGGTAACTTGTCACTTTCTGATGCTGCATTAATCAATCTTATTCTTTCATTCTTTGTATATTTCTCTAGAATTTTGATATTCATAGATATTTAACATGTTCTCATTTTCCATTACATACTTCTATTTTATTAACGTTCTTATGAATGATGTGCAAACTTCTCATGGACTTCACACGTTTTGGTTATTCCATTTCAACAGAACTGCCCTTTACCTAATTATTTCTACCTTCTATTTTGTGGCTATGGTAATATCCTACAGGATCCAATCAAGGCCATCCATTTTAGCAACTCTAATCCAATCTGCCATGCATTTGATTCTGAGGCTAAGGATGGACATGATTTGCTCATTGGGTTGCAGTCAGGAGATGGTGAGTTTGTTGGTTTATACTGATTTTTTCCTACTTGTTTTATGATCTTATGCTAATTGCACTGCTTCTCTTTATAATATCATTTGCATGGTGGTCTAGTCTACTCTGTGTCATTGAGGCAGCAATTGCAAGATCTTGGGAAGAAACTTGTGGGAGCTCAACATTACAACAAAGATGGTGCAATTAATAATAGGCATGTATTGCTTGCTTCAAAAACTACAAACAAATTTATGCAAATTGCAATTGTCCTTCAACCTATCTCTATACTTCATTATTCTTTTAATCTAAAGGTAGTGGAGTTTGGCTAGATATTTTTTGTGGTTATTCCTGCATTTTATGCGTCATTACACTGTAATCTCTGCACTTTCAGGATTTCAAATGGTTAATTCATGTCATGTTATGTGGGTATGAGTAGGCGACAAAGAGGATTTGTAAAAGGTTGGATGCAGCCATACAGGGACATGTCTATATATATAATTACATATTTATATATTGAAATTAATAATTTACATGAAATCAACATTGTTTTTATTCACATGTTATGAGAGTAAAAAGATACTTTAATAAGTATGTTATAAATTGGGAAACCGCTCGTTTTACAAGCTACCTTCTAAAATCATAGTTCTGGACTAAGTATGTAGTGAAATGAACTTGATCCTTGTCCAAGAAGTTTCAGAAAGTGGATGTGAAATATAAGATATAAGTCCAAGAAGTGTACGATGAGTATTTTGAATTAAAAATATGTATTATTTGAGTAGACGTCTGAATGTATGTACGAATATACTCAAAGAGTGTCCAAGGAGTGTGGGAGTTCTGTACGCGTATGATGACTTCATGATAGAAGTGTACATGCAAGATAGGTGTTCACATGACACCTGCTCACAATTTTACTAAAAGGGACACGAAACAGTTGGATGATATTCCATGCTAGCTTTATTCTGGAAGAATGTATATTCCATTCTAGGACTGTAATTCTTACCTGGGATGATCTGGATTGGTCATATTAGAAATTGACTATTTTTTCTGGTTTATTGCTGACTTCTGAAGTGGTTAGTGGTTCAGATCAATGTTTGGATTTGAATAGTTGGAAAATCAAGCAATCCTTCAAATAAAGTATTGAGATTACCTATTGTAGAAATGTAAATGCAAATATTTCTGAGTCATCAGTGTTATTGAGGTGCGAGGCACAATGCACGACACGATGTCCCTTTACGGGCACTGTGTGCAAAGTGCAATGCGATCCATAGACCTTAGTGAAGCGAGACATGCACCACATAATTTTTCAAGATAGACAAACAAACATGAATGGACATCTTTATGAGTTTTAAGATAAAAATTATGTCAAGTTAAATAATATGATATAAACTACCAAATTACGCAACAATATCTTAGTTCATGTTCACACACCCATCATAGGGAAGTTTGTACTTATTCATTTAGTTCTTGGATTAGCATCAGAAGATCTGATCTCAACAAAGTGTAAATTACCATATTCCTTATGTAAATTTTACTACACTCAGATGAGTAAAACTATTCTCACTGCAAACAAGAAAATCTGAGAGGCAAGTTTAGCTAGTTTTGCTGGATCTTCTGACCTTTGACTAACCTGATTCCCCAGAGTACTTTGGTGTCAAATGCTTGCCTCAGTGCACATGCTTTCTTAATGTCTGCTTATCTACTTCTTGATTTGAAGACTCTGTGTGTTGTGTTATGAAAAAGAATAAATTGGTGTATAGTTGGTGCCAAAAGATGGGACGATGTTCTGAGTTAATGCTAGGAAGAAAACTAGAGAATTTGAGCACCATTGTAGTGGATACATGGTTTAGCTTCATAGTGTACATTTGATTTGACTAGTTGAAGGGTTATTAAAGCTATTATGTTTGTATAGTGTCTAACTGAATCCTCTTGTTGAAGACTTCTTAAAGCTATGTGTTTGTATAGCGTTTAAATGAATTGGCTAGTTGAAAAATTCCTAGAGCTATTATGTTTCTTTGTTGATTCCACTAAAAGGTGCTCTTGAGATTCATGAGATATGCTGCTGTCGTTAGAATTGGCATCTCAATACCTGCTTATGTTGCTTACGGATGAAGGGAGCGTTTTTGATATAATTGGCAAAACAGTTCAGAACTAGTATGTATCAATATGTGAGCTATGGCACATATGCAGCCATCAAGTTCTGTGAAGAATATGTACTGCAAAAACCGGGTTTTACTTGCACCAGAAAGAGCTTAAGAATATAGCATACAAAGCATAGTAGATAACTTTAAGCCGATTTAACATAATTGGAAGTTATCTAGACTCTATGTTGCATGGGTACGGGTAGGGGTACTGGTGCTGGTACGGGACACGGTAAATTTGTAAAAGGTAGGGTACGGGACACGTCCGTATAAATACTTATACACATACATATTATATATTGGAATTAATAATTTACATTAGATTAATATTGTTTTCATTCACGTGTTATGAGAATTTAAATCTCTATAACATCTTTATGTTCCTTTTATTTTGTGGATTATATAAATTGGAAAATTGCTAGTTTTTGAACTAGACATTCAAACTACCCTTTAAAATCATAGTTTGGAATCCAATGATTTTCAAGAAGTGGGCGTGAAGTGTAGCATATATGTTCAAAAGATGTATGACAAGTGTTTTAAATTAGAACATGTATTGTATAATTAAGTAGATGCCCAAATAAATGTATGCATATATGCAAGGAGTGTCCAAGGAGTTTGGGTACGGATACAGGTCGGGCACAAGTCAGGTACGGGTATGGCACTTAGATAGAAATACCCAGGTAACATAGTCTAGACTACTTTCATGAGGTACTCGCTAGACCATGTGAAACTAATAAGGCAGCTGAAGTGCTTAGAAATTGACAAGGCCAGGTAACTATTGAGCATACTGGAGTTTGTCTTAGATGACGGACTAATGCATGGGCAGAAATGGTGATCCATACTAGTGGAGTTCACATCTATGCACGGCAGTGGTGCAAATAATAATATTAGGTGTATAAGGCAGTTAGTTGAATACAAAGTTTGGTAGTGCTTAAAGTTTTCGGTTGGCTATATAAATTTGTTTTCCCTAGAGTCGTATTTGATGCTCATAACACCTCATCTTAGGACAGTATTTGCATTTGATGGAGTTTATAAAGGTTGCTTGCGAAAGTTCAGAGCTGTCAGAAACTTGTAGACATTGCTGTGAATCCGGCGCCCTTGGGAGTAATGTAGGGCTTAAATATAGGTTTGCATCACTCTTGGCCGAAAAGCTTAATCTAGTAGGTTTTAGGCCTACCTTCATATTAAAATCCATCTCTTTTTACTACTTTCCTACTGTGGAAATATACTCACAACACACAAATTTCTACACATCGGAGTTATAATGTACATACTTAATATAATTGTCTGCTTGAGTATACTCCAGTCATGATAGCACTGTGGTCTGATTTTCAGATAAAATTAGTTCTATTTGAATATGGTGAGCGCATTATGGAATTTCTTCTAGTTTTCTGAGATCCTTTGCGCTTTTGTAGGTTTAAAACATGGTTATATTAGTAGATTATGATCTAAAGTATAAACGTGTAACATCCACTGAAATTGTTATTACTTATCTAAATCAGCCTCTGTAGTTTGCAGAAGAAGTTTCTTTATCTATTTCATTTTCATACTTGAATAAGATGAAAATATTTAGGTGATTTTAACTGAAAATTCATGTTGGTTAGAGAAATCATGTTCGTTCTCACTGAAAAGTATATGGTGTCAAGTTAAATGCAAAATGTTGATAACTCATAAACTAGAAGGTTTATTTCCCCAAAAGTAACATACCCCTCCACTGCTTTTTAAAAGAGGATAATTGACATCCTTCTTAGTTCTTAGTGATCCCTCAATGCAGTGCACTCATTCCAGGGGAATGTGACGCACAATTTTCCATAGAGGAGGTTGTGCTCTTAAATTTAGACTATTTAGCTGATTGGTTATAATGTTATCTATTTTTTGCTTCTCAGTAGATGCCATACAAGCTTGTGAAGCCAGCAACTTCACTAATGAGTTTATAAGTTGAATTTCTTATGATTTATTCTCTTTTTTATGAGGTAGGAATGACATTAATCATCCGATTTATTTGCTATCTGTAGTCGCTGCTCGTGCATTGCATGGGTGCCAAATGGCGATGGCACTTTTGTTGCTGGTCATGCCGATGGAAACCTATATGTGTATGAAAAAGTGGGTTCTGATTGAGTAAAATTCATTAATATCAATATGAATAAGGCTACTTACATGGAGATCACTATGCTCATTGCTTAGGGCAAAGATGGAGCTGTTGACTCTCCTTTTCCTGCTGTCAAGGATCAAAGCCAATTTACTGTGACACATGCAAGATCTAGTAAGGTAGGTTTTTCGATTATAATTTCCCCACATTTAAATGCAATTCTCAAACTACCGATACTTTATGCTTCTGATGTAGTGCTATCAAATAATAAGGAACTTTATGCTTCTGATGTAATGCTATCAAATAATAAGGAACTTTATGTTTCTGATGTAGTGCTATCAAATAATAAGGATTATTGTATTCTAATATGTGATCTATTTAAGTGCAGAGCAATCCTATAGCGAGATGGCATGTTTGCCAAGGTTCAATCAACAACATTTCTTTTTCAGCGGATGGAACACATTTGGCCACTGTAGGCAGAGATGGTATGTTTTTATTTTGATTAATTTAATTTAACTTCTGGTACCTGTTTATTATTATTATTATTATTATTATTATTATTATTATTATTATGTTACATGGGATATTCAAATGTTACAGAGACAATGGTACTTCTTGTAGGTTATTTGAGAGTATTTGATTATTCTAAGGAGCAATTAGTATGTGGTGGGAAAAGCTATTATGGTGCTTTACTATGTTGCTCTTGGAGGTAACAAGCATTTTCATAATAGTCATTTGTTTCATGTGATAGGTAGCTTTCAATGATCAACTTCTTGCAAAGTATATTACTTTTAATCAAGATTTTCCATTTATTTCTATAATTATGCAAACTGTAAACTATTTTGAATTGTATGTTTGTCAAAGTTATCAGCTTTATGTATTACTTTGAGATTTTTCCATTTATTCTGATAACTATGCAAACTGGGAACTGTTTGTAATTGTATATTTTTGAAATTTATCAGCATCTTGGTAATGCTTTTGACAGTTCTACAGTTGTGCATGTTGCGCGCAGCGGAAATTTCGGCAGCACTTCGGCAGCACAACAAGAGAGTCAGATCGCAATAAGAATTCCCGTCTCACCAAGGAGATAAGAATCTGAAGCGGATATCTCAACCAAGTGAGATATCGGCTCTTCCTCTCATCAGTTCTAGGACTGACCTGTCGAGGGATCCTAAAAGCTATTACAAATCACACAAAAGCAGTACAACCAATTTTTACGTGGTTCGGCAAATTGCCTACGTCCACGGGGCAAGGAGGGGAGAGATCTACTAATAGAGGGAGAGAATACAAATAGGGTTTACACAAGAATCTCACAAATAAAACCCTCACACAAACTCTCAAATCCCTCACACAATATCTCTCAACAACAGGCTGCACAAAATCCTAAAAGGAACTGCTCAAAATCTCTCTCAAAAGCCGCTGATTTTCTTCACCAAATACAGCCGCACAAACTCCAAGAACTCTGCTCGAATTTTTCTGCCGCAGCCGCTAAACACCTCCTCGCACTTGCACGCCAACCTAGGTTACGAGTACAAGGTTTATATAGCTGACGAAAATCGGGTCGTGGGCTCTGTTTCCCATCGCATCCGCAAACAAAGGAGAAAACTAAGCACTGCACGTGATTTCTTAATCACGCGTAAACGAAACGGTGTTCACTCGGTTTCACGTGGGTGGTCCCCACTCCCACTCACTTCCGCGTTCACAATTCTCCACCTCGGTGAAGTTTTCTCAAAACTGAGCCGACACCAAAGCAACCAAATGTCCCACTTGTTGTGTCCAGTACGAACTCAATCAACAAGTCGAAAACCCGAACGAGAGTCCAAACAATCTCACCCCCATCAACTAATCCAAACCCGGCTGCATCTGAAAGACTGCCTACGTATCCTCTTGCCCAAGGAATCAAGCCGAACGTAGTTCACTCAAATGGCCGTCAACGGCCTCAACAATCACGAATGTGTAACAAGCTTCTACAATGGTCAAATTTGTTGCTCGGAACCACCTTAGTGAGCATATCCGTCGGATTATCCTTCGTGTGGACTTTCACAATTTCCACATCGTCATCTTCAAGAACATCCCGAACGAAGTGATAACGAACGTCAATGTGCTTCGTCCGCGCATGAAAAACCTGATTCTTCGCCAAATAGATAGCACTCATGCTATCATAATGAATAGTGACAGACCGTTGCGATATACCAAGTTCTTCCAAAAGTCCTCGAAGCCAAATAGCCTCCTTTACAGCCTCCGTAACTGCCATATACTCTGCCTCCGTCGTAGACAAAGCCACCGTCGACTGTAAGGTGCTTCTCCAACACACCGGCGCACGGGTCAAAGTAAACACATACCCCGTAGTAGACCGGCACTTATTCAAATCCCCGGCATAATCCGAATTAACATAACCAATGCATGACTGCCCACCTGTAGTGTCCCGCTCATAAACTAAACCAACATTGAGCGTACCTCGAATGTACCTAAAAATCCATCTCACGGCGTCCCAATGACCCACTCCTGGATCATGCATGTATCTCGAAACCATGCTTACCGCCTGTGACAAATCCGGCCTCGTACATATCGCATATGGAGTCTTCAACATCAACTCTTTATCTTCAACTGACTTCGGTGAAAGACCAGCTGAAAGCTTCAAATGGGCTCCCAATGGTACACTAACTGGCTTCGTATCCATGTTAACATGGAATCGCTGTAGGACCTTCTTCAAATAAGCCACCTGTGTCAAACAAATTCTGTCCTTCTTCTTGTTTCTGCCGATCTCCATCCCTAAAATGCGCTTCGCCTCACCCAAGTCCTTCATCTCAAACTCATTTGAAAGCTGAACTTTCAACTCATCTATAGCCGACCTGGAAATAGAGGCAACCAACATGTCATCGACATAGAGCAATAAATAAATGTACGCACCTCTTTTCAACTTGCGAAAATATACGCAAGGATCAAACTGGCTCCGAGTGTACGAATGACCAAGCATAAAATCATCAAATCGCCTATACCACTGTCGAGGAGACTGCTTCAAATCGTATAGCGATTTCTTCAACCTGCAAACCAATTTTTCCTTCCCTGCAGCTCGGAATCCCAATGGCTGAGTCATATATATTTCTTCATCAAGATCACCATGAAGAAATGCCGTCTTCACATCTAACTGATCTAACTCCAAACCATACTGTGCCACCAAAGCTAGAAGAATCCGAATCGAAGAATGCTTCACCATCGGAGAGAAAACCTCATTATAGTCAATACCTTCCTCCTGTGCTTAGCCCTTCGCAACTAACCTAGCTTTGAATCTCAATGGAGTGCCCTCAATGCCCTCCTTCTTCGTGTATACCCACTTGCAACCAATTGCCTTCCGTCCCTTTGGAAGCTCAACAAGCTCCCATGTATCGTTCTTATGAAGAGATTCCATCTCCTCCTGCATAGCTACCTACCACGAATCAGCCTCCGAACTCTGCTCGGCCTCTCTGAATGTAGTAGGCACCATCTCATCGATACTCTCCACCGGAAGTGCATACGCAACTGTGTCGGCATACCGTGCTGGTATCTGTATGTTTCTCCTCTGTCTCCGAACCGCAATCGAATCCTGAACCTGAGCCGTCGGTCCCTGATCCTGCACATCAGTACCCGTATCCTCCGTGTCACCGTCGGGCTCGCCTGGCGTCACCTCAGTCGGCACTCTAATAGATACTGTACCATCTGGACAATGTGGAGCTGCATCGATCTCCACCACCTGCGATATCTCCTCCGTCGGGTCGCTCTCCACCTGATGAGAGCTGGGAAGCTTCAAGATAGAAGCCTCATCGAATGTGACGTCCCTACTCAGCACAATCTTCTTATCAACTGGATCCCAAAGCTTGTATCCCTTGACACCACGCTTGAATCCTACAAATATGGCCTTCCTAGCTCGAGGTTCCAATTTATCAGTTCTAACATGATAATATGCAGGGCAACCAAATACCTTAAGCTGGTCATAGTCATGTGCTGTCTCTCCCGACCACATCTCCATAGGGGTCTTCCCCTCAATCGCAGATGAAGGCAGCCTATTAATGAGGTGGCTCGCATATGTAAGTGCCTCAGCCCAAAAGATCTTCTCCAAACCACTATGCGCCAATAAACATCGAATCTTCTCCAGCAAAGACCGATTCAATCTCTCTGCCACCCCATTCTGCTGCGGTGTATGACTAACTGTGAAGTGCCTCTCTATGCCCTCGTCTCGACATAGCTGCAGAAAGGGGTCTGAGGTATACTCGCCGCCGTTGTCGGATCGCAACGTCTTGATCTTTCTCCCAGTCTGCAGTTCCAATCTCTTCTTCCACTCCACAAACAAATCTAGGACTTCACTCTTATGCTTCATGGTGTACACCCAACATCGCCTAGAATAGTCATCAACGAACGTGACGAACCAATGTCGACCACCAAGTGATGCAGTCTTGGTAGGACCCCAAACATCTGTGTGCACGTAGTCCAAGATGCCCCTCGTCCTATGAATGGCCGTCCCGAACTTCACCTTCGTCTTCTTGCCAAGTACACAGTGCTCACAGAATTCTACTTTACCAGGACTCCCTTCATCACCACCAATGATCCCTTAGTAACCTTCGCTACAGCGTTTTCGAAAGTCACCTTGAATCCCTTTGCCTCCAAAGCTCCAACTGAGATAAGATTTTTCTTCAGTTGAGGAACAAATCTCACCTCCTTCAACTCACGGACTACTCCATCGTGCATCCTAATCCGTACGGTTCCTATCCCACAAACGCCACATGATTGATCATTTCCCATGACAACAACACCCCCGTCGACTTTCTCAAAAGATGCAAACCAGTCTCGCCTAGGGGTCACATGAAAGGTAGCGCCGGAATCAAGCATCCAATCTGATGCATCCACATGGTTCACCTCCGGAGTAATCAGTAGAGAAAAGCACGAATCATCGGAATCATCGCCTTTCGCAATGTTCACCTCATTGGCCTTCGGGCCCTTTTTCTTGCCATTGCTTAGGGCAGTCTCTCTTCCAATGTCCCTGCTCCTTGCAGAATGCACATTGGTTCTTTGTTAATTGGTGGCGGCCTCTAGACTTTGACCTCCCTCTGTTACCACCTTTCGGATTTGGGCTTCTGCCTCTCGTCGACAAGGCCTCGCCTGAAGTGCTAGCACGGGAAGTCTCCTTGTCCTTCCTCCTCAAATCGTAATTTGTCAAAGCGTCAGTCACTTCACTATAGCTGATAGAAGATCTCCCGTTCAACAAAGTGAGCACGAAGGTTTATATAGCTGACGAAAATCGGGTCGTGGGCTCTGTTTCCCATCGCATCCGCAAACAAAGGAGAAAACTAAGCACTGCACGTGATTTCTTAATCACGCGTAAACGAAACGGTGTTCACTCGGTTTCACGTGGGTGGTCCCCACTCCCACTCACTTCCGCGTTCACAGTGCAAACTGTGTACTGTTCAGCCATACCCTCAAAGGTCTGAACAAAGAAATAACTAATGTAGATAGCCAAAAATCTGAGATATAGACTTACTTATACTCTGGACCTGTGGGTTAACACTAATGGTTGATTGAGTAACTATATTTACATGTATCTATTCATACTATTGTTTTGCCTATTGCCATTATTTATCTTGTTTCTTTTCTGGCTTTGCCATAGTCTGCAAATTGCTTGTACTCTTTTCTTGGGTATATCTACAAATTAGCTGTTTAATGTATTTTAATTTGAATTGTGGTGAAATATATTTATTGCAGTTCTGATGGAAAATACATACTCACTGGTGGAGAAGATGATCTGGTACAAGTTTGGAGCATGGAAGATCGAAAGGTAGTAGCATGGGGTGAAGGTCATAATTCATGGGTAAGTCTAAAGTCATAAATCCTTTTATTTTTGGTCACCTGACTCCTATTTAACACATTAAAGTTTTCTAATAAGTTAATTTACAGGTTAGTGGTGTTGCATTTGATTCCTACTGGTCTGCTCCGAACTCAGATGGAACCGAAGAAAACGTTGTATATAGATTTGCTTCTGTTGGCCAGGTAAACTTTTTTTTTGCCAAGTATTGAGATCAATACCATGTCAGAGCCTTGTTTCTTTAACTATAAATAATGGTTCTTTAGTACATGTAGTTATATCTTAATGTCATTCAAGTTCCAATTCACTTATTTGCTTACTACTATGTATCTTGTGAATATGATGTTCCGTAAAAATTTCAGTTTTTTTTATGTTAAAATTCATGAGCTTTATATTTACTTGTAACAAGCAGTGTGGCTTTGACGGGGGAAAACTCCACATAATCATATAGAATCACATAGAGAGGAAGAAGAGGTTGACAGCCGGCGTATAAAATGCAGTCTATTAGTGTTGTGAAAACTGCACTAATAGAAAGTAGTGACTGCACAATAGACATTACTGATATGTGCTTCAAGATTCGTGATACGTTAGGTGTCACCCTCCCTACACAGTATCCATTGATCAAGTACGAGACTATGTAATGTAGCATCTTCACTCAAACTGATAATATTTCTTCTTATGATATTTAGGACACCCAATTGCTTATGTGGGACCTAGCAATGGACGAAATCGTCGTGCCTTTACGCTGCTGTCCACCAGGTGGGTCCCCTACATTTAGCAGCGGCAGTCCTCGCGCTCATTGGGACGATATTACCCCTGTGGGTACTCTTCAACCAGCTCCAAGCATGCAGGATGTGCCGAAACTCTCACCTGTAGTTGCACATCGGGTGCATGTTGAACCTCTTTCTGGCTTGGTATTTACTGGTGAATCGGTGGTGACGGTTTCAAGGGAAGGGCACATTAAGATCTGGGGGAGGCCTGAGCATGATGAAAGCAGTGAGTCAAACTCCTCGGAGGTAGTTACAAATGCAGTTAATGTCAAGGATAGGCTTGTTTCGACTTCAGTCAAGGTGAGCTCTCCTAGCTATAGGCCACCCCCGTCTGTTCTTATACGGAATTAAAGCACTTTGCAGTGGGATTATTGAGTTAAGTGAGTTTGGGCTTTTACGGTTTTCATCAATGGAGAGAAGTCTCAGATTAGGATCTTCTCATGGTGTTTGTGCCCAAGAAACTTTAATGTGCTTATGTACAGCTAAATATGAATAAATGCACATGATATTGATTACTGCTTTATGATCAGAAATTTTGAGTTGCTTATTTGTCTGGCAGTTATTTCCATCGACCCCCTGGAGCAGCAGTTATGTGTTCATTCATCTCTCGTGTTTTTGCAGTAAGGAAGCCACCTTATTAAGCAAACAAACAGAAAAGTATCATCAAAGTTATTATTGTTATTGTTGCTGTTATTATTTTGAATAGCATCAAATTTATTATTATCCAACACGCGGCACATGGATCACTAAACTAATTTACAAATGCAAATACGGTAGAATGCCATCACAGGACAGGTGCTGGTTTTCTTCCCCCCTTACGGTCATGGCCAGACCACGTTTGTGCTTTCGGCAACTAATGGAGCATTCGTTTTGTCTTAGTATCTGAACTGGTCTTTTACCTCATGCTATGCACGATCTGATCATAATTCATCAACATTCCATTGTGTTCCATCACTCGTTTCCTAATAGAGTTAAAAAAAAATATAGTGACATAACTCCCTTTCTGAAACCCCCTCCCCCCCACCCCCCCATTGATTTAGGTTTGAAATTATATCATTGTCCAGAAATCATGATAATATTCAAATTATACAATGCTGTAATTAAAATTAACATCATTTATTCAATGTTTTCATATGAAATGAATAAACTAAAGAAAATCAAAATATCAAAATGCAACTTGAATGTACTTAAAGATATAAAACGGTTTCATGTTTAAAAAGATTATTCGCAAGTGATCCATCCCAAAACAAATAAAAAAGTTCTATATTTATTAACCAATCAGAGGATATAATAATAAGTAAAAAAAAAAAAAAAAAAACTCCTATGGTTTTTCAATCATTTTTTCTTGGTTTTAATCTCCTTTTTCAAAGTTGCAAGAGCAGGTTCTTTAATCATGTCTAAAAAATATGAAACATGTGTAATAGGTAAATTTAACATAAAAATATATTACCATTAATAAAGTTATCATATAAAATATCCAACTTGATTAAATACCTGTTTTGCCACTAAGTAAAAAAAAAAAAAAAAAAACTCCTATGGTTTTTCAATCATTTTTTCTTGGTTTTAATCTCCTTTTTCAAAGTTGCAAGAGCAGGTTCTTTAATCATGTCTAAAAAATATGAAACATGTGTAATAGGTAAATTTAACATAAAAATATATTACCATTAATAAAGTTATCATATAAAATATCCAACTTGATTAAATACCTGTTTTGCCACAGGTTGTAGGTGAAGTTCTAAATGTAGAATAGTCTAGTGTAGCAATAGGTGATATATCTAAAATCTTCTTTTTTTTCATATGCTATTAGTCGTCGAAGTTGGTGTGGATAATACTGGATTTAATTTTTCAGATTGATTATTAATAATACTATCTTGATTCAGTTCAATTGGGTTCTCATTGTATGATGAAAGTACATTCATCTTAGAATAACATAAACGTAAATAAACTAATATTAAATTTATCCAAAACCTAAATAACAGGTTCAAAGTTTCAAAAATAATCTACTATATATCTATCAGGTTAGGAATTTTTAATCAAAATATGCGTAATTAAAAGTTGTCAACATAAAAAAGAGTTTATAGGGTATTATACCAAAATATATCTTGTTATTTTAGGCATCTTTTTCATAATATGGTTTTTAAATTTGGAATTTAATATTGGTGACATAATTATTGAAAATAGATTTGTTTTAACTTATAAAACAAAACATTCCCTCACTTTCTTAAATTTCAAAACAACTTAGTTTTGATAATATAATTTTGATGATTTGGTCCTTTCCTCATGAACAGTTATCACATACGTTTTTAATATTGAGTATTTTTTATTTGAAGTCTTTTTTAATCCATTAGATTAGGTTAAGAGAAACTTTAAAAATAATATTAATTATCATATCAATAAATATGGTAGTTATGCTAGTTATATTTATGGGCTAAATAATTTTTAATTGGTAGTTAATTTTTATGGATTTTCTTATAGCTAATGTAATTTCCATTTTATCTATTTACAAGTTATTTTAAATGGATAAGGCAACTTAAAACAATCCCAAGAGACCAAAAATACATTTAGTACAACAAAATTGACTTTTGTCTTATTAATTGTCTAGTTTTGTATGGTTTTTAGTTTATGTTCAAGTGTATCTCTCTTTTTTCTATTTATTTTTTGCAATAATATGAATATATAGTCATATATTTGCTAATTTTATTATTGTATGCCTATTTCATTTGATTTCTAAGACCTATATTATATCCCAAATAAACTTGACTGGATTTATTATAATTTTTCCAACTTTAAAAAGGTTAATTTAGAAGTTTTCTCAGTTCAATTGTAAGTAGGTCAAATTTATGCTTAATACTGTTCAATATGATATTTGTTATATGTCAAAAAGGAATCCACTAAATACATACAATTGTTATGAGGTATTGTTATGGTGCTTACTCACCCAAGATATGAGTTGTTATGAGGTATTGTTATGGTGCTTACTCACCCAAGATACGAGTATTTGCAAAATAATACAATAAGAGTCCTGACAAACCGGCTTCAACCACCTTAGTAGCCCAAGCCCAACAGAGGCCTCGACCCTGCCGACTCATCAAGTCGACATTCTTTCATGCTGACACTAAAGGCGGGATTAGTCGACCCTATTGTCGAAGACGACCCACCTAGGGCGCACTCGATCACTCACTTGGCAACTCACGAAGACGACTTGATGGATATTTTCTGCTGTCGACTAATTTGAGGAATAACCTCCACCTCAAGCCTCTCTTCCAGAGTATATGTCAGCGTCCCAGTCCACCTCGAACAAACCTTATTCGGATTCTGGTCTGATAGTCTCCATGACTTGTCAGTCGCCTACGTGCCTTCTGCCACGCTCTCAATCACTTCCCGGAACATACGGAGACACACTCTCCCATGCCGAAGTGACTTCCCCTCCAGTCGCCAATCGATACCTGTAAAGCGAGGGATGACTCAGCTCTTAGCTCACACTTCACCACGGCCTACCTATGCTTGGCTAGGGGGACCAATTTATCCTCATGGCGGAGATATATACAGATAGACTTCTAACCTCTAGAGGGGGAGCTCAATCTAAGGGGAAAGCTCTCTCTCTCTCTCTCTCTCTCTCTCTCTCTCTCTAAAGGAAAAGAACACATGGTTCTTCGTTTACATAGAGGAGCTAACATAGACCCTCTGAAACGACACATTACCTCCTCAAGGACCACCTCAGTTCCTGACCTTCTCCTTCCCCACTCGAGTTTCACTAACTTGACCGTCAGAGGAACCACGGGGGAACTGGTTCCGCTCTCTTACGGGTTCTTCTTGTTTGTACAGTGTGGACATCAAGTCCTCATTCAAGAACCAGGCATAAAGTCGGAGAAGGAAGCAGTCCCTTCATCACTCTCCCCTACCTCTTCCCGGTGAGGACCCAAGGGGGATCAATCCAGTTTCGGATCAGAACCGATCACAGTCTAAATCCGATTGACTGTTTGGTCGTAATCATCAACAGTTTAGCACCTACCATGGGGCATCTTTTGTTTTTTGAGAAGACATGCCAAGTTCTGAACAAGGGGTTTGATTCTACTCACCCTGAAGAACAACATCGGAGTTGCATCATCCAAGCTAAATAAAGTCAGAAGTTGTATCATTCAAGCTAAGGAGTGTTAGCTTTGGTTATAAGGAACCAACCTAAGCGTAGTCCTTGAAGGCCTTAGCGACTTTTCTTGGGAGTGTTTGCCAAATACACCATCTGCTAGATGGTAGAGCGACCTTCAACACCCCTGAAAGCCTCCAGAAGAAGACATACCATAAGGGTGGTTGTCTTTGAAAAATAAACTCTAGCTTCCAATCTCCGTCACAGAATAACTCTAGCCAGAACACAGGTTCCGATTAGGCCAAACATCACTTAAGCTCCAACTGGCAATAGCTCATATGAGCATAGGATCAGTGATTAAGTCTGTGATAGACATCTTGGACTATGAGGATTCTTAGAAGATAGCTCCCATCCACCAGGGATGAGAATGCGGGAAAATCTTAGGGCTTATTAACTGATTGTCTTCTCAGGAAGAACGACCTTGGCCCTTCAACTGACGCCTGCACCACTAAAGTTGCCTATGCTTTTGTGGTCGAAGCATGCGACCCGCATGATCCCCATAAGGGATATTTCTTCATTCACAGCATGGTCCAGTCCCTAGTGCTCCCAAAGCCCCTTCAAGAAAACCATTATAGTTTATCATTCCCAGGGAGTGCAATACAAGCTAGTGGATTCTCTCTCCAAGAGAATTTCCATCATAAAAGGTACCATGTAGCTTCTTGTCATGCCCTCAACCCTCATGAACCCGACCAGGAAAACGCCATTCAACATAATTTATAGCGTCTGGGCAGTTCCTTTTGCTAAAAACTGGCATGCCAACCATCCACCTTCAAGGCTTTACTGAAGATTCAGACTCAAAAAGAACCTTGGCTGATGAGATGAGAAATAGAGTTCCGACTCATCTTCATTTATCAACGAGTCATCTGCTATGGTAAAAGCAAAATCCAACTAAAGAGGTTCTATATTGGGAGCCTCATCCACTACAAAACTGCATTTGAAACAGAGACAAAGTAAGATCACAAGTGGTTCAACCCCCTTGAGCATTGGATGTCTGTAATGGATACTTTCCATAATCATGTAAATTTTAGTACTAATGAAACCTTATCCAATATGAATTAACTCTTATCTCACTGGGATCAAGCCTTCACTAGGGCTGAAGACCTAGTCAACTCTCAAGAGTTCTAGGCATTCGACTCCTCAATCAAATTTTAAGCACTTGGTACCTCTTCAGGGTAAACCCAATGCACAACATATGGTCGAATCCTCCAGTGCTACTTGACCATCATGACTATTAAAAACCCAGACGTCCAAATATGTCCTGGATGACCTAACCTCAGGGTTGGTATGTCAACAAGCCCTTGGTATCTCTTCAGGATAAACTCAAGGCACAACCCTATGGTCGACTCCCACAGTCGCCACTCGACCATATAGGGATTATGAAGACCTAAGCACCAACGTAAGACCTAGGCACCTAACCT